AAGTCTCAGGCGAAATGCTTGGCTTTCCTTCAGGCGGGCTTCGGGGTTCGACAGGGAGGAGTTATTCAGAAGAAAAGGGAATGGAGGAGGAGAAGGAGGAGGAGGACCAGTGTAAACCCAAGGCGCGTCAACGATGTTGCTAGAACCCCTCTTTCCAAGCTTCGCTTCACAGGCCTCTACCATGATTTATCCGCATTGCGGGAAATGTGCCCATTAGAAGGCAACCGTCTGCGAATTCTAGACGCTCCGCCCGGCCCCCCCCCCCTCTTGGACAGTTTCACCTGCAGCGCCCGGCCTTGGCCGCAATACCCTGTGCTACCTCCGCTGGGGCGGAGGGGCACCAATACCAACCATATCGCTGCTCAGATAGACAGCCCACGCTGGACTCGTGGACCTTGCCAGGCTTCTCCTCCCATGCGGCCGACTGGGGCGTCTTCGTCTGCCGCACGGGGCCACGGCCACAGCCACCCACGACGGAGGCCACTGCTAGCGAGGGCTCTGGGGTCGTATGCAGTCACCCCCGCGGGCCCCACAATCCCGCTGTCCAGGACAGCCACTTTGGACGGCAGTGACTGGTGGATGAAATAACCCACCTCCTGCGCTCCACATCTTTCGCAGCCACTTTGGACGGCAATGGTTGGTGGCTGAAATATCCCACCGCACCACCTTCGCCTATCCGTGTGCAGCCTCACCCCCCCGTGGACAAGAGGTACAGTGCATGAGTGCCCTGGGTTCCCATTTTAATCTGTGTCCAGCGGCTTTTGGCTGCGCCCCCTCCTTCTCCTCCTCCCCTCATTGGCACTCGTCTCAGCGGCTTTTGGCTGCGCCCCCCCCCTGCCCAACAGCACCATCACATTGCGCCCGCCGCAGAAGCGCGTCTGCCCTGATACCTGCCCAGGGAACAGCGGTCCCTCTTCGTCGCCGACCCGGCCATGGTTCTACAAGGACGCCATGGCACGCCGTCAGCACGCCGCCAGCGAACGGTACGGCCTAGCAGTTCTGCAGCTGCCAGCCATCGGTTCGCCTGGCGTCGAAGGTATCCGGCTTCTGCACGGGCAGCGCGGCAGGTGTTGAGTGGGTGCGGCTGCCCGCCATACGCATGGTGATTGGCTTCGTCAAGTGAACGGCCCCGCATCGAGTGGTTCAGCTTTCTGCGGTTCGAGTTCGTTTCGCTCTTCGCGGCGCAGCCACAGCCCCAGCCCTCGTCAGTACAATTGCATCGTTGTGCCCCCGAACTGCGCGAGTCGGATACCATGTAGGCGCACTGGCCACCGGCTGGTGGTTGCTCAGCCTCGTGAGCGCACACCAGTGGTCTGCCTCCTACTGGATGGTGCTCGGACACCCCTCATTGACACTTGTGTTCAGCGGCTTTTGGCTGCGCCCCCCCCCTGCTCGTCGCCGACCCGGCCACGGTTCTACTACAAGGACGTCTTGGCCCGCCGTCAGCACGCCGCCAGCGCACAGCACGGCCCAGCAGCTCTGCAGCTGCCAGCCATCGGTTCGCCCCGGCGTCTGAGGTATTCGGCTTCTGCACGGGCAGCGTGGCAGGTGTTGAATCAGTGTGGTTGTCCGCCATACATCTGGTGATTGGCTTCGTCAAGTGAGCGGCCCTGCATTGAGTGGTTCAGCCTTCTGCAGTTCGAGTTCGTTTCACTCTTTCCGGCGCAGCCACAGCCACCAGCCCTTGTCAGTACATTGCATCGTTGTGCCCCCGAACAGCGTGATCCGGATACGATGTGAGCGCACAGGCCACCGGCAGAAGGTTGCTCAGCCTAGTGAACGTTCACCAGTGATCTGCCTCCACTGGATGGCGCTCTGACGCGGATCAGCCACACCTCAGCTTCAGTGATCCTTGGTGAGTCGGGTCTCCCTCGCCGCACCATCGTACGCTCGTGGAGCTGCAGTGAGTCTGAGTTAGTTGCTCTCGCTCGCGCTCCCCCCCTTTTTTTCCGTGGTCTTGGACGGCCTGGCTCTGTGTGCGCACACGCGGGTTCCGCTTGGTCTTTGGCCACTCGGACTCGCGTCTTGCCCGTGCCTTGCTGTCCGTCTTGGCCTCGCTCCCGTTTACGGTTCGACTGGAGCTTCGCGCCGCAAGGGCGACTTCTCCCCCCCGTTCCGTTGCTGGTTGCCGCGCCTTCTCCCCACCAGCCGGGCTGTCTGGGCCAGTCACCAGCAGACGCTTAAATGCGTCTCAATGAGGGGCATTTTGTCCTTGGCATGTGCATGTGCCACTGCGTGTGTTGTCCGCTGGAGTCTGCGGCAATCTCGCGCCAATTATCTACGTACCGCGCCCCGGACGTTGTGCCCGCTCCATGTCCCTCGCCTTGGAGCCGCGAGCCAAAAAAATAATCCCACCAGCGTTTGACGCCGCCTGCGTTTTCGCTTGCGGCTGCGACAAACAGTAACCCCACCAGCCCATCCAGAAAAGATGCCCAGAGGAATTGCCCCGATCAAGGAAGTGGGCAGCACGCAGAAGAAGGGTCCCCCAGGGGAGGCCTCTTAGAGCGTCTTGGGTGCCTCGGAAAGCTTCTTGGGGCCTCTTGGGGGTCTCTGGGGAGCATCTTGGAGGCCCTTGGGCGCCTGTTGGGGCCTCCTGGGCGCCTCGTGGGGTCCTCTTGAAGGGCTCGTTGGAGCCCTGGGAGCGCTCTTGGGGCCATCTTGGAGGACATCGATCAAACACGAAGCGAGCATTAGTTAGCGCTGCCCCTCGGGAGCCTAAACAAATCGCCTCTTGGGGCGCTCTTGGGGCGCTCTTAGAGCGCTCTTAAGCGCTCTTAGGGCCGTCGTGGGGCTCTCTGGAGCCTCTCTTGGAGCCCTCTTGGGCCATCTTGGAGCCACCATCTTGAAGCCTCGGATGGCCATCGGAAACGAAAGGCGAGACAGCCAAACACATAGATTTCCCTAAGGTTTTGACCACTTCGGGGCCTGCCGGGGGAGCTCTTTGGCCACTTGGAGCCGTCTTGGAGCGGTCTTGGGGCATCTTGGAGCATCGTGGGAACCATTATGAGACATCTTGGGATACCTTGAGCCATCTTGGAGGTCATCTTGGGCTCTCCCAGGCGCTCTTGGAGTCATCTTAATCAGTGCCCCCCCAAGAGGCCAACATGTGGCTAAAACCTTAGTGGAAGCAGTGATTTGGCATTCTCGCCGAGGCCTCTTGGAGCATCTTGGGTGCCTCTGGGGGGTCTCTTGGGGCCTCTCGGGGGTCTCTTGGGAGCCTCTTGGGGGCATCCTGGGGGCCTCTTGGGGCTTCCTGGCCACCTCTTGGGCACCCTTGGGAGCCTTGGGGGCCATCTTTGGGCCATTTTGGGTGAGATCGATCGCAGGAGGGGGGGTCCCTAGTTAGGGTCCCCCCCTCAGAAGGCCAACATGGGGCCAGAACCATAGTAACAACAATGATTTTGGCTTCTTGTGCCCAAGCATTCCTGAATCGTGCCAGGACACCGGTATTGGGATTTCAGCACCGCGAATCAACGTGATCTTCGCGCCTGGACAATCGTAAACCGTGCCAGAGCAACACCATTCTTGGGACTTCAACCATACAGTCCTTGAAGCTGCTGCGAACGTTTTAGACAGATTTGCGTGAGCTGCATTTTGAAAAGGAGCCGTCTTCCATGATGGTCTTGCAATTGTTTGAATCGAGCGCGCGCGGCGCTAAGGCGAGAGCCTCATTCCGGAAACGAGCCGCCCTCCATCCGTGAACGGACTGAACTGTAAAACGAATGTGCGCGGTGCGAAGGCGAGAACAACATTTTGAAAACCACCTACCTCCTTCTGCGAAACAGTTGCCAACTGTTACATCGGAGGTTTGCGGCTCTAAGGCGAGAGCCACATGTTGAAAACCACCCGCCCTCAATCCGTGAAACGGTTGCGCATGTCAAGCTTCAGGCTCATAAATCGTAAGGATGTCTCAGGCGAAACGCCCGGCCCGCCCTACCGACATGTCTGGCGGCGCGACAGGCAGGAATTATCCGTAAGGAAAAAGGATGGGGGAGGAGGGGGAGGAGGGAAAGGGGAGGGGGCTGGAGAGGGGGATGGGGAGGGTCGGGAGGGAGAGGGGGAGGGAGGAGCAGGAAATGCGAGGAGGAGGACGACGAGGAAGAGGAGGAGGAGGAGGAAGAGGAAGAGGAGGAGGAGGAGAAGGGGGAGGAGGAGGACAACACATTGGGTGGGTGGGTGAGGTGTAGGTGGGCGGGAGAGGATTAGGAACGAGGTGGAAGGAGGTGGTGGAGGGAGGCGGAGAACATAGGTGGATAAGAGAAGGAGGGGGCGGGGGGCGCGCGGGCCCCAGCTCTTCTCCCCCGCCCCCCCTTCTCCAGTTCCCCATCCTCTTGCTCCTCTCATGCTTGCCTGCTGCTGCTAGGCGTTGGACTCCTCCTCCTCCTTCCGCCTCCCACTTCCCTCCACTTCCTCCTTCTCCGTCCTCGTCCTGCTGACGCTGCTCTTCGTCGTCGTCGTCGTCGTCGTCGTCGTCGTCGTCGTCGTCGTCGTCGTCCTCTTCCTGCTCCTTCTCTTCCCAGTACCATGTTATCCTCCCTCCTCTCCTCCCTGTTCTTTTTCTCTCTTTCTCTTTCCATGCCATCAGTTTCAGTCTCGCGACTCGAACTTGGTGCCACGTTTTCTCACGTTGTTTGCGCGATCGTGGGAGGACAGGAGCGCGACAGCTTGCTGTGGCTTCCACTGAGGATTCTGGCAATGCCGCGCAGCATTGAAGACATGTGTGTGAACTTTGGGGGGTAGTGGTGGAGGAGAGGCGGAGAGGGAGGGGAAGGACCAAGGGATGAAGGGATGATGTAGGGAGGGGCGGAGGAGGGAAAGGGGATGAGGGAGGGAGGGAGGCAGGGAGGGAGGGAGGGCGGCAGGGAGCGAGGCGCGAGGGGGGAGGCGGCGGGGGCGACAAGGGGTCCGAGAATGTCGCCTCCCTCTTTACCCCTGGCCTCTGCAGCCCCTCCTTCTCTCATCGGTCCTCTTCCTGCCGTGTGCTTCGGTCCGCGCGCGAGGCCCCTGTGCCCGCCGGTGATGGCTGCGGCCTTGGCCTGGCTCGCAGGCGAATGCGTTATCAGCCCATGGAGAGGGAGACGGAGCGAGACAGGGAAATGTGTGCGGGGGATCGCACTTCACAAGATCAGTGTTTGCCGCTGGGCTCCACCTTGTTTGCAGAACGGGCCTCTGATAGTAGCCATGCCGTCAGTTCCATATATATATATATATATATATATACATGGCTCTCTCTCTCTCTCTCGTTTTTTTTTGTTTTGTTTTTTGTTTATATCTCTCTCTCTCTCCCTCTCTCTCTGCGTCTCTCGCAATCGCATGGTCGCTTCGCTAGACTGCATCCTTACAGTCGCGGGCAGCAGAGTGCTGGTACACGTGGTTGGTGGTGGGCGAATGAGGAGGAGGAGTAGAAGCAAGAGTGGGAGGGGGAGCTCGGAGGAGGAAACGTGATGAGGAATAAGAAGAGGAGCGGGATGGGCCGCCACCCTGGGCGCCCGGTTCCTCTTGCTTCCTCCCCTCCGCTTCCTCGCCCCACCTCCCCCTCGCTCGCTCGCTACCTAAGGACATCCGAGATACACGCAGCCCATTACACCCCCCCCTCCTCCTCCCCCTCCTCCTCTTCCTGCTCCTCCTCCTCCTCCTCCTTCGCGTCGGGAGTAACAGAAATGAAAGACTCGCTTGCCACGGGTGGGGACCACCTGACAACGCAGAAGGATGGTGAAGGACAGGAAGAGAAGGACGCGTTATCGGGACGCCTGGAAGACCAAAGAAGCGAGTGTACCTAGATAACAAAGAAAACTTTCTGGAACATGAGAGGTTTGCTCTTGGTTGTCTTGAGGCGCCTCGGAGGGTTCTGAAGCCATTTTTTGGCTCTCGTGGGGCTGTTCGGACGTCCTCTGGACCGCTGTGGGTTCATTTTTGAAGCCCCACCAGAGTCATCCAGGAGGGCCAGAAACCCGATGAGACGCCATGCAGGATCACCCACGAGGTTTGGGAGGCCCAGGTATCCCAGAGGTCCGAATCACCAGGACAGGGGGGCTTGGAATCGGGTGTTGGAATAAACGTGTAGACCTAGGAATAGGAGTTATTCCCCAAACGATGCTTGCATGTAGGGTTTCTAACTTCTGCTCTAAGGAAGTGGGCCGTGTCTTCGGTCTGGCGGCTGAGGGGCCGCCGTCGCCGCCCCGCCGCCGCCGCCGCCCCGTTGCCGTCTCGTCGCCGCCGGTCTGGCGGTTACCTGGCCGCCGTCGCCGCCCCGTCTCCGCCTCGTCACCGCGCTACAGTCAATTTTTTGGAAAAAAGGATTCGGATCTACCTACCACCCCCTGGGATTATCCGCTCGCCTTGTTCTATTGCAATTTCCTTGTGATTCTGCCTCATCGTTCGTTTTCAGTAGGAAGTCACACCATCCCAACCAGGCCCGGATCGACATCCCCATCATCTTTCGCAACGCATGATATGCGCGCGCATTTGTTTATCAGACGACTTCAATTTTCAAAGGTCCCTTTGCAACACGTGAGACGAAATTCACACGCGCGCGTCGTCGCGCGCGCATGCCGAAATCCTTCAAAACCATGTCTTCGTGAGGATTTCAAAATCGAATGTTCGAAAACATACAAACCAGATGGTTTCGCAACATCAGTGTTCAAAAGAAGGAATGCGCGCACTCTCTTGCGAACTCTTCAGAAAACTTTTTTTCCAACATGTTCATCACATGCGACCAAACGGGCCTCTCGCGCGCGGATGTTGGAATCATTCGAAAGCCCTCGCGCGCGTGCTGGGGGGGGGCACGATCCCTGTTAAATGATACCATTCGGGCCACTCGCGGTCGTCGGCAGCGCGCGCATTTCGAACCCCTCCCGAAACCTTCGTCACCTACGCGTGGACACCATCATCGTCATCGGCGTGATCAGCCTCGGCGCCGTCATTGGCCTTGTCGTCGTCTCCGTTGTCATCGTCACCATCATCTCTATAATCATTATCGTGTCTACCGTTCTCGACGTCGCCATGATACCGCGCCCGCCCGAGGCATCGACTCGCATTGAAGTGCCCGATGGTAAATGCCCAGTGGTCAGGGCCACCGCGGCCGCGTCGGCAGCGCTAAACTATCTGGCCGCTGCGCGCGCGAGCATGCGCGGGCTAGCGCGGCCGCCAAGACGCACCAGCCAATACTAAACCCTCATCGCAGTCGCCGCAGCATGGTTTGTGCACACCGAGTTGCGGGTTGGTGGGTGGGACGATTGCGCGGGCATCGGAGTTGGCGTTTCAAGCTTTTGAAACTTAGTTGCACAACGTAGATTGCACCGCGCAGATTTCACCAGAAAGGTTGTACCGCGCACGTAGATTGTACAACAAAGATTGCACGACACAGCTTGCACAGCATAGAGTGCACTTCATAGGTTGCGCCATATGGATACTATAACATATGGTGAACCACATCGAGTGCACAGCACAGATAGGACAACATATAATATACGACGTACATAGTTGTACATGTGTGTATATAGGTAGATGTGCATACATACATATATTTATTTATTTATATATATTTGTATACACATACATCAGAGTGAGAGGGCCGAGCGGTCATTCATTGTCCCTGGGTGCGTGGCTGAAATTAGGATCTGTGGTGTGGATTCTGCTTATTGCGTTGTTGTTGAATTATCATTTACTAAGAACAATTATTGTTGATCCCCCCGCGCCCGGTGCACATTGTATTTTTCCCCACATCCAAAGTGGGGTTCTTGTTTTCTCTGCACACGCTGCGCAGGATCTCACACACCCCCTTTCCTCTCTCTCTCTCACTCACCATCATCGCCATCATCATCACCATCAACCACCATCATCGTCATCACACGCACACACTCATCATCATTACCATCATCATCACCATCAACCGCCATCACCGTCATCACTAGCCATCATCCTCATCCTCATCATCATCGTCACCATCATCACCACTCGATCACCCACTCACTCACTCAATTACTCACTCATCCTCAGTAGGCTTCGGAGGCAGTGGTCCTCCGACGGTAGGACCGCCGCCACTCTCAACATCATCGTCACCATCTCCATCATAACCTCTCGATCACCCACTCAGTGGCCATCATCATCATCATCATCATCATCATCCTCATCCTCATCCTCATCCTCATCCTCATCCTCATCCTCATCATCATCATCATCAGCAGCAGCAGCATCATCATCATCATCATCACTCATTCATCACACACTCATCATCATCATTCGCTCACTCATCATTTCGTCATCAGGCGGGAGCCTCTGAGTGAATTGCGAGGAAGTCTCAGGCGGGAGCCCCCTCCCTATGGGGCCCGCATATCATGTTACTAATCCGAGCGGGTCATCGGAACCCTGTATCTGTCGTCTTTTTTGGGCCTCTGAGGCTTGAATACGCAGGAAGTATCAGGCGGGAGCCTCGTCTGTGAGTGAATTGCGAGGAAGTCTCAGACGGGAGCCCCCTCCCTATGGGGCCCGCAGATCATGTTACTAATCCGAGCGGGTCATCGGAACCTTGTAACTGTTGTCGCTTTTTTGGCTCTTGAGGCTTGAATATGGAGGAGGTATCAGGCGGGAGCCTCGTTTCTGAGTGAATTGCGAGGAAGTCTCAGGCGGGAACCCCCTCCTTATGGGGCCCGCCGATCATGTTACTAATCCGAGCGGGTCATCGGAACCTTGTAACTGTCGTCACTTTTGAGCTCTTGAGGCTTTAATGTGAAGGAAGTCTCGAGCGGGAGCCTCGTCTGTGAGTGAATTGCGAGGAAGTCTCAGGCGGGAGCCCCCTCCCTATAGGGCCCGCAGATCATGTTATTAATCCGAGCGGGTCATCGGAACCTTGTAACCGTCGTCACTTTTGGGCCTCTGAGGCTTGAATATGCAGGAAGTATCAGGCGGGAGCTTCGTCTGTGAGTGAATTGCGAGGAAGTCTCAGGCGGGAGCCCCCTCCCTATGGGGCCCGCATATCATGTTACTAATCCGAGCGGGTCATCGGAACCTTGTAACTGTCGTCACTTTTGGGCTCTTGAGGCCAGAACATGGAGGAAATATCAGGCGGGAACCTCGTTTGTGAGTGAATTGCAAGGAAATCTCAGGCTGGAGCGCCCTCCTTATGGGGCCCGCCGATCATGTTCCTAATTCGAGCGGGTCATCGGAACCTTGTAACCGTCGTCACTTTTGGGCTCTCGAGGCTTTAATATGAAGGAAGTCTCGAGCGGGAGCCTCGTTTGTGAGTGAATTGCGAGGAAGTCTCAGGCGGGAGCCCCCTCCCTATGGGGCACGCACTTCATGTTCGAACCCGAGCGGGTCATCCGAGCGAGCTTTTTGGGCTCCTCAGCTCCTGCGGCCTGAACACGGGGGAAATATCAAGGGGGAACTTTGTTTGTGGGCGGTGCGGGTAGCCCCGTCAGAGGACCGTCTCCTGTCGTCACTTGGAGGTCTGAGGACGAATTTTAGAACTCGCTCCTGCGGCCTGAATACCGGGGAGTTACCAAGCGGGAGTCTCGTCTGTCTGAACTGGTCGCGGGCAAAATTGTTGTTGTCATGGGCCTGCGTGCCCGAAAGGGCGATTGAGAAGTCCGGGTAGCATCGTCCGAGCTGGTCGTCGGCAAACTGGTTGTAGTCATGCGACAGCGTGGAGGTCCGAGAGGCTCCGCCGCCCCACGGCCGCGGCGTCCGAGAGGGCGACTGAGGAGCTGACGATGACGACGACGAGACAGCGGCCGGGCGCAGGGGTAGCCCCTTGCGTCCGGGCCGGGGGTGGTAGCCCATCCTCGGCCGAATCGGGGGCAGGGGTGACCCCTTGTCTCCGGGCCGCCGGTGGTAACCCATCGGCGGCCGAATCGGGCGCATGGTGCACGGCTTCCAGGAGTCCCCGATCTACAAGGAGGTCGCCGAGGTGCTGCTGCAGGGCGCCGATGGCGCTGCCGACGACGGCGAGGCCGAAGCGCGGGCGAGGAGCTTGCTCATGTTCAGGCCCAGCGAGCAGGAGCTCACGTGGCAAAGCTCGGGGGCGCACACTATGCGCCGCTCGGGGTT